TTTGAAACGATCGTATATTGAGCAAAGTGTGGCTGGAACGCATGGGCAATAAACCAGCTGGAAGCCAAAAATATCTAGGTGCCGCATGCGTCTTCTTGTAGAGTATTGATGTTTCATTAGCATACCTCTACCAGAAACTCGAAGAGCGTTTGTCATGGGCTTAAGGCTACGATAGTTTCTGTACAAGATAGCAATGACATTTTAGATCATCTGAACTAGGCGTCGGACGGTCTCTTTCGTACAACACTATTGAACTGGTCGACCAAACGGCAAAAACTGCATCGCAAATGGATTCTGTTCTTGCATCGTACTTTTGATACCCACCAGTGCAACAGAATCAAGATCTGCAAATAAAATCGTATGTCGTTTGGCCTGGCGCTGCAAAACTCGGTTAAAGGTGCCAAGTTCTTTTGCCTCTGTATCTCCAAGATTTCTGCAAGCAGCGAGTTTATGTTGTCATCATAACACATTAGATTTGATAGGTGTATGTATATTTTATGCTTTACCGCAACTCTCTGGTTATCGTCATACTCTGATCGATTTCAATGAAAAAAATTGCGAACGCCTGGTTACGACCCTCATATGTTATATTTTATTCTCGGAAGGTGGGACATAATGCACCTGATAGTGATTCGCTACAGATACAAAACAAATGCAATATTAAGGGAGTCTGAACATACTTTACAATTCCGTGGTGTGTACAAATATCTAGCCTCAAGCCGTGTAGCTAAGGAAGCTGAGTAGGCACCGGATGCATATAAGTAAGTTTTACTTTACTGTCGATGAAACAGCTTAGACTTTCTGATCCTTTTTCATTCTTGGTCGGGGCCTTGTGCCACAAGATGTTGCACGCTCTCAGGGCCAAGCAAGGACATCAGCTTATCAAGCCCGTCCTGCATGCTCTGGGGCAAAGAGGAAACTTCCTTCAGCCTCACAGAGGTCCGTCGAAACGACTCAGGTGTATATTGACTACAAGTGTTACCAAGTGCAGCGGGGCTGCCGTAACAAATTGCTTGAGGAATCGTACTTTAGGTCACTGGCCTTTCGTTCTTTACAAGAGCCAAGTACTAGTGCAGCGGATCGCAATCCGCTGCCTCTAAAAGTACTCAAAAGGCTAAACCAAGGCAAACGAACACTTCTGTTCAAAATCGAAACTGATTTATATTTTTATCCTAATTTTAAAAATTATCCTAAAAATACTGCCTATATATAGTAAAATCTAAATATGCATAGTTACTGGCTACCTAGCCACATACCGTATTCTTGTTTGGGTGCAGTCACATCATGCACATCTTGTGTGACACACACCCTATTACCAGGGTACGTGTAACCTCGTTACACATTTATTGCTTATCTTGCGTTCGTTACTCGATCAGAATTTAAAATGCAGGCATATAAATCTTGATCATAAATCACTGAAGCTGGGCAGATAGATCAATGAAATGTAATATTAAAACTAATACATTTTTGCAAAAAATAATTTTAAATTTGTTCATTTCAAGCTAGAAATAATACTAATATTATCATGAAATAGTCTGATCTATTTTCAAAGTGACCCATTTTGATCAAAGAAAGCTTAGATGCTCAATAATGGAAGCTGGGCATGAAAATTCCTCAAAACGCAGAGACAGACTGATGCACGTATTTATGAAAAAATCACTTTATCACCTTAGCTCGCTGACCACACCTTTGGAAATTCATACTGAGTTGTCACATCTCCCCGAAACTTCCGGCCAACAACACATAATTACACCAGCACAAACGTTGCACTCCTCTGACATCGTTCATCAATCTTATTTTATGACACGATTGAAAGCATATTTCGATGCGGCAGACAGCAAGACAAAAAGCGATCTTCAAAGCATTTATTTTGCCAAAATGCAGTCGATGACACAGAGTGAAAAGTCCAACAGCCCGCCCTCAACCAGAAAGTCGAGCACCTATATTGAAATAGCTACCTACATGGCTCTATGGGTAAAAGACAAAAAATTACCTTAAGCATTTGACGTGGATGATTTGTATATATTCCTGGAGAAATTAATTTTATATGGCTTTTCACGCGATGAGGTGGAATTAATATTCCTTACAGCTGGGTACGAAAACTCAAAAGTTCAAACAATTTTGGATTCATACAACAAACTCAAGGCGGAGTGGCCGATAGAGACTGCTATGAGTGTATTTATCTCACACATGGATCTCCCATCTCTTCACACCCTATCTCGTGCCATACTTGACGTCCGTGCTGCCAATGTTGTCGTGAGTAGAGAAATACTCAAGCGATTGAAACAATCCCCTGGTTATGACCCAAGTTCCATCCCACACGACTGGGAGTATCTTTTGACGCAGTGGATCAACCACTTCTACACTCGGGAGCGTGTGCATCTCATACTTCGACAGTCAGACTTGAAACCGAGAAATTTGCAGCAGGTTCTGGGATATTACGATCAAATTAAATCGACGTTGCAATAAACGCCGGATTTCCAATAATGCACAAGTTATCGAAGAAGCCGAATTAAAATACACTCAATCCATCGTTTATCAAATTTCTCGACTAGAAAATTCAAAATTAATCAGAGATAAGTGAATTGGGCTATTCAAGCACTGGATTTTTCTTAATTTTTCTCGTGAGCAGATAGAATTACATCTTCGATTAGCTATGCAAGACAAAGCAATTTCGAGTCTTTTGGACTTGTACGAAAAATTGTTTCAGTAGATCTTCGGCGCCCTTCGGATCCTCAGTAAATGGCATGCTAGTTCTGGCTCGTTGCATATGTTATAGCAAGTAGCGAAGGCGAGCAACCTACTACTCCATGAGCCTAATGGTTTAGAAATCTGTCTCAAGAGTTAAACATTGCCGCTTGGAATCTACACGACAAAAGTATTTGTGCTTTGCGTAAATTTAAAGTGCTCGGTTCTGCTACAACAAGTCTTCAAAACGGTAGCGGGCATGTGATTTCCGCATGGGTTAGCACTACTGATGAAACAAGGCCAAGAGGTGGTTACTGTTCGCCTGAGGGTATTCACCAGCTGCGAGAACGCGCAGGTGACACCACTCTGAAAAAGTGACAAACATGCGCTGGTACAAACCCCAACCGAGCTTTCTGTAGCAACACCGCTTCTATCTATCGCCCAGACCTTCTTTTGACAACACAGGAATACATCCCATCGAGACGTGAGCTTAGGTTCGCCATTGACCTATTTTACTCCAAGCTGAGCGGCACATCGTGCAAGCAATGACGGGACTTTCATGAGATAATCGTTTCAGCTCAATCAAATTGCACCCCTCGGTATTAATCATCGCGATCCGCCAAAAAGATTCGATACTCTCAATCAAGCTAGAATTTCATGACATGTAATGATTCATCTATGTATTCTCGAGCAGCAGATCATGCTACTCTCCCTCGGTATTTTCACGAGTGGCCTGCTGAATACGATGATTATGTGGATCAATAGTAACTTGCATTACTATCGGATGCATGAAGTACCGGCACTGTACGTCTAAATTGACTCGTTGGCTGCGAATTACCTTGTGGTATTTGTCATCATGTGGCCATTATTTCTGTGGCTTCTTTTGGTTCACGTTGGATAATCATGTATGCACTCTCGAGTCGAAGTTGTGTTGTTATTGTTTCGCGCTACCAGTTGCCTCACAATGATTTTTGCTGTTATTGTACTACTGAACGAAGTCTTTTCTCGTCGGTCTATGATAGCATTGGGAGTAATGGTCTACAGGTTATTGGGACTGCTCTACTCGTAGGTTGTACCTATTTTCAAGTGGTATCGTGCTAAACTGTGCGCAAAAGGCATTGTAACGTTTCTGTCTCATTTTATGCGAGAGTTACTGTTAAATACGTTACCTATAGAGTGGCTTGCCGATCCAAGCTTTACTGATAAAATAACTCCGTATTTGTCATTTTCATTGCCATTATCCAGAGCAGAGCAAATGAGGGTGCTGGAGCAATCGCCTCCCGAGTCGCAACTGATGATGACGAGTTGGGTCTTTTACCATTATTGCTGAGCTCAATTCAGAAAATAATACTTGTAAAAAGCATTGACTGTGATTTTGAAGTCGATGGAACGCAACTAAGTGACATAACGCTAGCAAAGCAGGAGAGTGAGGGAAATTTTCAAATGCAGCCCTTCACTATCTTGAGTCTCCATTCAACACAGGCTTTGATACTCATCGCCCTGATGTCGTACAAACATTTAAGTAGAAATTTCACGTGATCAATGACATCATGACGTCAAGGATGTGGAATCTCAGCAAGATCATTTTGGTTAAACTACCGACTGCAAGGATGTTACGTCGAACTGCCGCAATCTCAAGCGCTTTATTAGTGATGCAATTGCATGCTTTTAAAAATAGTCGTAGAGCTTTTGTTATCTTCGTTCACTTCATCGCTTCGGCATTGAGTTCGCACATTTCCTGCGACTTGTGCAATCCAACACAATCGACACAAAGGAAGCAGCAGTACGCAACGTCACGATCTTTTCATTCGCCGAATACCCTATCAAGCATAATGTGCTTGTGTGCACGCTACAAAATTCTTACACTTTCCAAGACATTTTTTTCTAAAGCATCAAGAAATCACGTTACCGTAAAGTATCAATGCAATAAATTGTAAAATGTCTGTAAATTGAAAAGAGTATTTATGCATTCCATCTTATGGAAAAAAATTGTCAACTTATAACAACTCGACTTAGACGACTGACAATCTACACGCTGCATAATTACAGCCTAGAATGGATAAGACTTTTCTAACACCTCGTAAAACAGTTTGTCTTGGATTGGCGGGTTTGCTCGCTTTTCGAGGCGGTGGAAATTTGACAGCGCTGCTCGAGCCTCGTCCGACAGCTGCTCCCACGTGATGAGATCTTGAAACTCACCAACACGTTTGGTGAGTTCAAGTCCATGCTTCTTCCGAATTCGACTTTCTGTCGACTTAACTTTTAAAGTCTTGTCGTGGATGAGATACTTGGACTTCAACGGTGCATATTTTTTGATTTCGTCGCCAAAACCAGACATCGATGCAGCGAGAATAGTCGAGTCATCCGGATCTGGGCTATCTGTCCAAATAACGACCCATAACCAAAAGTGGCGATGGCCGTCAACGAACCAGGCAGTAGAGTCAAGGGCCATCGGAAGGTACCACGTGTATAGCATCGCCCACTTGCCTTGGTACCAGTCGGAACGCGAGTAAATCTGGGAACCCCTAGGAGATCCTTCGCACGAAGGTCGAAAATAGTTTTTCCACTGCATTCCTTCACTTAAAGACCCATTCTCCTGCACTACAGGATATGGATGACATCCTTCGTCGACGTAAAGCCGCGGTTTGTACTTGATAGCAGATTCCTGAGAAATTGTAGTTGGCTTACGTTGATAAAACGGCTGCACTTCGTCGACATCCATGAGGGTGGGGCTGATCAAGACAGCCCCTGGCTTTTCTGGGTATACAGAGACATTAAGGTTGATCCAATGAGCTTTGACAAGGGAAGTGGCGAGGATAGTAATTCCTCCGAAAAAAATAGCACGAAGACCCATTGGGACGTTTGTGAATGGCGCGGCGTAATGAAAAGTGCTAGTGATCGAAAGCAGCTTATTCTCGTACTTCTAGAGAGTTTGAGCCACAGCTGATAAAGAACATTCTGCATCCGCATCTTTTGGACTGCACACCTGACTACAGCCTTTGGTATCAGAAGCATGTCAATAAAAAATGCGCGGTATCCTATTATCTAACACTGATATGGAACAGACGACAAAAAAAGAGTCGTCTTTGAAGACGACTCTTTTTTACTTTTTTACCCTATTAAAATATTTATTTTCTTGCATGAGTATGTATATTCGAATAGGGTTATAGATATTACAGTGGTTGTAAATATTTGTTTGTTCTAAGTAGTCAGGTATACAATCTTAACATGGTTACATTCCATTTTTTCTATTTGTATGAAAAGCATAAACAAATACCGATACAAGAAATCAAAAACTGACTTATTAGATATCTGCAGTTTATGGATACCATCCGCCGTACATTTGTGTGACATGCGGTGACGTGCCCATACAGAATCTTTTCTGGGTTCTCTCCGGATATCTCATGTGAGTGTTGTGAATATTCTAACATACCATTGAGTGAATCGCAAAAGTCCAGGAATGCAACTTCAATATTGCATGGTTCTTGTTGGCAGAAAAATCTACTACTTTTTGCAGGTACCAATAACTCAAGTTGCGGATTTTTTAGATTGTGGTAGCTTGATCTACGTATTGTTTACTTTTTTCTAGATAAGATCAATTGTCGTCATTTCCTTACTCCTACTTCTCTTGATCTTTTCTAATCAGAGTCCTATAAGATCGCTCGCACATTTTTTTATCTACTGACTCCCGTTCATACAAATGTGCTTTTTAAAATTGTAAACCTCCAACAGAGTCTCTGAAGTACCAAGTACTTAGTTTGCTTTGGTTGTAAGAAAACACATATTAGAAATTAAGTTTTCCTGTTTATAGTAGTAAACCCTCGTCATGTTCAAGGTGCACCCGCTTAAATCAAGGCTTTTAGTAAACTATAAAGGTCATGCGGCTTAGCGCATAGCTACTTCGTCACCAAATGTGTTTCAGCAAATGACGAGATGATTATCAAAAAAGAGCTGAGGGAAAGTATAGGCTAGGTTTTATTAATGTGGTGTTCGTGTACCTTCGCGTTGCCCTGACAATAAGTTGTAGCATGCCACAATGGAGACGACGCCAATTGATAAGGTGATGCATGCAGCGTACCGGCTAGGCGCACATGTGTCACATTGCTAAAACATTTCCCTGGCGTCGATTTATTTAAGCGCGTGGTTACACGCCTGCACCAAAATGCTTTTTTGCAAGGTTTGCAGTGACCCAGGGTTATATTGGGTGGTGTTTGATGATGATGATGTACAAATACTGTACGCGGCAAATGACGCCTATGTAGGCGACATGTTGGTGCGGAATTCCTATTCGGTGAGCGCAATGTATTGCTTGCTTAACATGTATGAGTCTATAAGCACATAATTGCGCAACATGTGAGCGTGTTTAAATCCTCGTCGCTCGTTGACATGCCTGCTGGCTTCGGCAGGAGGTTAAAATTTCAGCCGTATAGACTAGAATCTAGTCTCCCAAACGACCCGTTCGGTAGTACCGATGCAGTGTTCGTTGTAGACCGTCTGAACACGAAGGCTCATCTCGCTGCTGTCAGCACTGATGTGACAGCTGATTTTGCAGCCAACCGGTTAATCAACACAGTGTTTTCCCAAAATCTCTTGCCAGTGGTCATTGTATAGGGTAGAGGTCCACGCTTTACAGCAAAATTTTGGAAGTCACTATTCAAAATGCTCAGCACCAGATTGGATATGTCAACCGCTGACCTACAGCAAACAAGTGGTCAGACGAAACGCGTAAGTCACGCTATAGTCGAATTACTCCGACCACTTGCATGGGAGACCGCGATACACGACGACAACAAGCACTGCGATGTTCTTGGAGTTTATATCGTGCCATACTCCAAACTCATCAGCTAAAAATACAGTGGCTTCTTTTAGATCTCAACGCTAAGGTGTGTTAATGCTAAGCCCTCGGACAAGGATGACGTGATCAAAGGACCAGATCTCAACACTAAGGTGTGTTAATATTAAGCCCTCGGACAAGGATGGCGTGACCAAAGGACCAGGACGGTTTGTAAATGAGTATACTGAGCTCAGGATAGTCTGTGCCCAGAATAGTTCGCGAGTGGGTTGGCACGTAAGCATGCCTGTCATTGAACAGGATTGTAACGGGGTATAGACTGTAGTTACACTGCAACAGAGTTGCCGTGCACTTTGCTCAAAGAAAGCTTTGACTCCCAGAGTCTGCGTTAACAAATGCATATAGGACGGATTATCCGCTTTTTAGGAGCGAAACCAAAAGCCTTGGAAATAACTGACACTGTGCCATCTCAAAAGTCACATATTTAAATAGGTCCAATGTAAGCTCACACTTAATACATAAGTCTCACCATATATTGTAATTAGCATTTTCTGTCTTCTCAGACGTACGGGTAACAGCCCATGTGTACCTCATAGACCTCATTTATGGAGTTCCTAAATCTTCACAGATACTGATATCCGATGCTAAAAATATACGAAGTGTAACGCAATTTTGCGCAAGTCGTACGATATTGTATAATATGTACTTGAACTCAATGTGGTACGCAAGATTTGAGTAATTGGTCTACCGAATTCGATATAGACTACACCATCTATCTTCTAAAGACACTGCTCAAAAGTGATCGCTCCACGAGCAGCCACAATATCCCGAGATCTACTCCACTCGCTGCACTTTACCGCGCCAGCTCCGAAAGCACATTTATTTCTCAATTTGCCAGCTGCCCGACAAGTGGACCCAAGACCGCTCTCCCACTTTTAAACGGGCAAGAGCCAATGCTTCGCCCTCCCCCCGTCTACTCGGGTCGTGTTGAGCACCCGCTCCCAGCTTCCGAAGTTTGAGTCATTCTGACAGTTAAGCGTCTACAGTTTACTGTGGGCTTCTCCCTGTTGACCGACAAATAACCAAGTGCACTAAGGCATTCCTGAAAGGTATTGACTGGATTTGTTCCAGCTATATTGTAGTGCGATTTACTCATCCGAACGCTAGGCCGTACTGACGTGAGTCAACTAAAAGCTCAATTCAACCTGGAGTGGGAAAGAGCATATTGTTTAGGTTGCACTGACATTTGGTCCAGGAATCGAGGTACTTTTGTGAAGTGTTTGCTTAGGTTTTGTCCAACACTAGATTTGCAGCATTCGTTTATTTTACCGTTCTTACTAGGCTTAGACCTGCTCACCGCAGCTCTTCTACATTTTTGGGTAGATTGCAATCATCCGACCCCTTTCTGTAACTTTGTGAATCATGTCTGAACCTCATCGAGAAAAAAAGTGGCGTCAAACCTGGCAGAATGCTGAATCACGAGCCAAACTATCTCGGCCTACGGACGCTGTCTTCAAAAAGCCGAGGCTGCCTCACTGGCTCTTGCCCGCGATGCCCGTGACAAGCGGTGTGACGACTCGCAGGCGTTTCACAGCGAGTTTAACCCTAGTTGTGTATCCCGATGTGGATCCCAGCCCGTGCGCTAATAGCCATGTTTTCCGATACAGAATTTTTTACTTCTCTCGGCTCATCGACACAATCACTTTTGTGGTCGAATAGTCTAGAGCACTTGCGAGCCATCAAGCAATTCGTCACGCCGGTATGAGCTTTACATGTACCGACCGGGAGGTGGGAACAAATAAGGAAGTGAATCACTAACCATTTTGTGGGTGCACATTCAAAGTTCAAACGTGCTAAAAATACTACCACTGGTACTCTGCGGATCTTCAGCGACTTCCCGATGAAGTTTTCGATGGACTTGGTTTGCCCAAAAAAACAGGTGTACATCACACCGGCTCTCGTTGTAGGTGGGCTTCGCTCCTTCCGCCGTCGAGTTAACTTCATCCAATGAGCGCGCATCAGGCTTCTAAAGGGCTGGATAAGCGTACCCCGCCACGCCAGATCTAGTTTACTGGCAAGGCTTTTGGTGGTTCATTGCCTTTAATAGCGTCGTCCTTTTTTTCAGCAAGGAACTACGTGAAGAAGGTAAGTCCGCCCAACAGTCCAAGGAAGCACCATCAGGCTTAAACGCAGACGATACAACCAGTATACTGCCTGCTTTTGACGACCAAACACCAGTGACCGTTCTGCCATGGCCGACGACGCTGGGTCGGACGGTGAGTCACATAGTGGGGATCATTCTGACTCGGACACCGATCGTCGTACCACGATTGACGATATTGAAGCCACAATTGGGGCCCGACCCATAAGAAAATACCCAAATTTCAGGTCCGCTCCAGTCAAGCCACCGATATTTCGCCGACTCGAATTATGAAGTCAAAGCGAATGGTGTTTAGGGCCGTCGCGGATCCTGCGGTGGATCTGCGACGCCTTCCTATTCCCAAGAGAATTCTTCTCTAATTTCCACAATCAATTTTTATGAGTGGTTGACTGGAGGTTTGGATGGATCGATTTCGCCAGACCAAAATGTCATACTGTGGGACAAGGCGATTGAGCCGCCGCAGTCTTTGACTTCATTTGTGGCACTTACTGAAGTAAGTGAGGCTGTCTTAATGGGGCCGTCTACCGAGGCAATGTTGATCAACTCTCCCTTAAGGAGCTCTGCAAAGTCATTGACGAATATTGGAAACTTTAATCCAAATTGGTGATCCAGACATTTTGTTGTCGACCGTCCAACCTCAACATGGTGTTTACCGGGTCTTGCTTGATTCAAGCACGGATGAAGCTTTCCACCACCTTCGAACCAAGGGTTTTGGGCACGCCGTACTTCGAAAGCTAAGCACCTTACCTATCCGTCAACTGACGGCGGTTAAATGTTTGATCGGGTCTCCACACAATACCCTGACCAGTCTAATTATGACTATCAGACCGTGTCAGGGCAACTGTGTCCGGAGCAGTCCCAATTTTGGCTTAGGTTACGACCTGCCAAGGCTGATTTAGCTCTGTAAATTATTGCACCTGTTATCTATCTGAATTCTCTTAAATAATGTGCCGTCCATGAGAGGGCAGCATCGGTACAGCCACACCCAATGTGGCTACCCCGGGATAATTCGACTTGGCTGCCATCATCACGCTGCCCTTGATGGTCCGCATTTTGGTTGGGTCTCATCTCACTGCCCCTCGTGAGACTTAAAGGGTCTACGAGAACAGGCCACTAAAGTGGTATCGCCAGTTTCCTCTCATCTCTGATATGTAGTGGGCCCTATGGGGTTATTCTCTTAACGCGAATGGTCTAAATAACGTCACACAAGGCACCTGATATTTTCTCTAACATTTTTCACTTAGTGGGAATCCAAGAGGTAACGTTTACGGGTTAAAAAAGTCTGAAAAGGGCTAAACACTATTGGAGTACGGCTTCGCGGCTAAACTCCAGCTTTGATCACAAGATAATATGACCACATATACAGGGCAGGCTGGTGTCGATCTACTATTAACTCCATCTTGCCAAATCCGAGACCTTTGTGACATGACGTATCGGTGTGAGCTTTGTAGATCACTCATCTCGGTATCTACCCATTCAAGACGCTATAGACGCAACCGTTACTTATATTCCCCGGTCAAGTCAAGTTAAAAGTCCGACTTCATTACTACTTTATCCCACCATTTTGAGGACGATTGCCAGCAACTTCAACACTGTTTTTCCAGCAAGCTCGACACAGTGACCGCGATCGACTTCAAGGACAAAACAACCCCCCCTGAGTAGATGACTGCTTAAAAAAAGGTTGATGCTTGGCGACTTCCATACCCGGAACTTCAAGAGTTTACAGTGTGAGCTAGCGGACTCGTTCTGGGCTTCCAATTGGGAATCCAGAAATCCGGGATGCCGATTGGACGAACACAAGCAGATACCCATATTTTTCCGGGAGTTGTATTGAGCGAAATAAACGAGCAAAAGAGGTATTGAAAATATTTATTTTAAGGTGAATGAGCTCCAGCACTCGCAAGCCCAAAATTCTTCTGCTAGTGACCCGACGCAGCTTGCCACTGCCTAGGCCCATCTTGAAGAAAGACTGGACGAGCAAAACTACTACTCCTCGAAGCACAAATTTGCCTCCGACTTAGAAAACACTGAGCGTTGATCTAAATATTTCTTTCGACCGCCCCAAGTACTCCACAAGACACCCATTCCTGCGGATTCGGCCGGCGACTTGGAGTCAACTTGCACCGAATTTTCATCCTTCTAGTCTGGAGTATACTGCTCGCCTTCAAAAGAGTTTGGTCATGGACGACTCAAATGAGACCGTATCAATCTTGCCCGAATTCTTCAGGATACAACGGTGCGTCTCGCGCCAAAGGGTCAGGCTTACTTAGATAGCCCTTTTACGGCGTTTGAGTGTTGCTGGGCATGAACGCACACACTGCAGTTGTGAAGACTCCGGTGCCAGATAGCTTATCCGTAGAGTATTACAAAACGGACTTTCCTCTTTAAATTTGATTATTGAAGGTGGTCTATCCTGCTCGATTCGAACGCGGGAGAACGACTGAATTTCAACGGTAGTCTAAAAAGGATGATCGAAAACTTCCCGGTAAGTATCGTCCAATTTCACTACTCATTGTGGATGCCAGGCTAAATTTTATCCAACAGACTTGGCTTTTACTCGGCAAATTACTTCACTCGAATGAATACGGATTCGTCTCGGACCACAATATCTGCCACGTTCACCTGCGGTTTCAAGTACTGACCCATTTGTTTGCAAAAGGAGATATATCCTACTGGCGCGATTTTACTTGACTTTGCGGAAGCCTTTCATAGTGTCGTTTGAAATGTGCTGATTCACTTATGATTGGGTGACTCAATTCGACGCTGAATTTGGGCCCTTTTTTCAGGCCTACTGGTTTCCTTAATGTTCAACAAACAACCACTCGACCCATTTCAGCTGGGAGTCGGGTTCGCCAAGGTGATCTTCTCTCGCCGGCACTTTTTCGTAGTATTTATTGAGCCATTGCTGAACTATTTACAGGTCCACTTTCATGACTTTAGACTTCGTATCAGCTCACCAACTCACGCGGTGATCAGTTCTGCTGACAACTGTGCAGGGCTTCTCCGTGATTTAAGCCATACTAAAGTCTTCCTACAACTCGTATAAGATTTTGTGAGACCTCCGGTATGCGCCTAAACAAGGACAAATAGTGGTTCTTTAGAAGCCTTGGATTAACAAGACTGGACCTTTACGTCAAAGCCTTCACAATATAGGCGTCATTGTGGTAGGAAATACTGACTGCGCTAAGTTACTGGAAATATTATATGGCATAAGTCTCACCGACGCTGATTGCCTACAGCGCATTTTGACAGAGATGGAAACCCGGTGCTCATTTGACTTCATCGCGCAAGAACTTAAGTGGGCAAGTAGTCATTACTATTCTACCTGTTCTAAGGTATACCGCGAGCGTCTGTCATATTCCGGCAACAGGACTTCAAGACCTGCTATTAAGACTTATCTCGCGCTGCATGTGCAGAATTAAGACATCAAACGCGCTGCCCCGCGACTGGTGGCTCCATCCCTTGAGTCAAGGGTGCAGCGGCGCTGCCGTAGTTCTTTGCTGAGAGGAAGCTTACTTGGGTCACCGACCTTCCGTTCTATACCAGAACCAGCACGAGTGTAGCGGATCGCAATTCGCTACCTCCAAGAGTACTTAAAACTCTTATCCAAGGCAAGTACACTCATCCGCTAAAAATTAAACTGTATTTTTTTGTTTTATTTGCGGCAGAGCCGCCTATATCCAAAACCCTAAATTTTCCTTTAAGTAGTAAAACGTATAACTACTCGCAACCCCGCCACATAATGGCTTCTAGTTAAGGTAAAGCCACCCCATTGTGTGATTACACCAACTTGTGTAATCCAAACCTTTGTACGGTCACACCATCTTGTGTGACTCACCCCTGTATACCAGGGTACGTGTAACCCCGTTACACTCCCCCCCATCGAAATTGTGAATTCCCACAATTCACATTTAACTGTCGCCTTATACGAGGCTCGCGTATCTGAGAAACCGTTACGTCCCGAGAACCATCTTCAAACATTCTCCGCTCAATGAGCCCTGTGTCTATGGTTCCGAGAGCGCCTGCGGGCAGAGCTCTTCCTCGTCTTCTGCACGCGGTGCATCTCCGGACAGTATGCCCGTGGCTTCACGGTAAGAACATCCCAAGCCCTCGGCAACCGAGCGCCACACATCGCGCCCGCCGCAGGCGACGAATTTCCTTGTCGAGGATTTGAAAGAAGCCGACTACGAGATGAATAATTCTTTCCCAGCATGGGAAGACGAGGAGGGCGAGGTGCACCGACGGCGCGACGTGGGCCCTGCTTGAACCTTACCGGTAGTTCCCCGATTTTTCGACTTTCACGCTTAAAACCTGTCCATGTGTAAACATGATATGGTATTATTACCAATTGTCTGGACGAGGCACAGAAGCAGCAGTTGGAGGCTAGCTCTCATGCGCTCGTATCCACGTTCGGTCCTAGACCTTCGTGTGGAATACGGATCCCGCTACTGAAGCAAACACGCGATCACTCGATCGCAAGACCGGGTCACTGACCACTACACAAGTTGAGCTTGACCAGCAAATAATTTTTCAGGACTCGCTTCTTTGTGGATAGGTGCTGCGCTCGACTCGAGCTCCGAGAGGAGATGCTCCTGCACCCGCAATGCGGGCTGTTCCTGTGGTGCTCGCATCTGGCGAGACCGCTGCAGATGATGAGGTGCTCTTTGAGCAATGGGTGCAGCGGCATCGGAAACTTTCCTTACTGTTTCACTAACATTGGAGCCAAAAGAAAGAGGATGTGCGCGTAGAACGCCATCTTCGATTTGAGTTTGCCAAACTCAAGGCGGCCTACGTATTATCGCCCGGCGATACATGGAATAATCCATAACACTCCCGTGAGCTCTGTTATTTCTCACACGGGTGAGTCGACGACCACAGCTCAAGGCCATAGCTTGAGCTTAGCTCATGGCCCTTCGACTTCCCGGGCTACTACCAAGAAGCGCGGGCGGCGCACGACGACGTGGAGCATCATGATCTTTCTGGTTTTAAGCGTCCACGACGTCTGGGCAGTCTTGCCGAAGTAGCGCCTCAAACTCCCGCGAGCTCTCGGAATTTGTGTATTTCCGCCACTTCACAAGTTATTGGCTTAGTTATACCCTATCAACGACGTCGACCCACTATACGTTCCACGTGATAGTGGACGCCATTTTTCTCATCGAGAAGATTTGGCGTCGGACGGTGACATCCTAATCTATCGCCGTCCGGTGATTCGCGATGCTCTTAGAGCTTTGGAGGACAAAGTCCGTCGTCATCGGCACTTCGTCAAGCATCTTGCCGAGGTCACATACCGCTGTGTGGAGTACCTCGAGAACCTAGAGCTTTCTGTGCATCGACTGCCTCACGTTGAGGGCTATCGTGCTCCCTAGCTGTCGAGCAGACGAATACGTCACTTCGTGCGACGGTGGAGCGCCTGGCGCAGCTGGAGAAGAAATCGTTGCACTCCGTGCCCAAAACCAGTTGCTGATTCAGCTTCTGGGTGGCCATGCGCCTTTTGGCGCCGCCCTGGCTACAACGCTTTCGCGTTTACTTGCGGTACAGCTTGAGCAAGCCCACATAAAACATCGGATGGGTGCGCATCCTTCTCGGAAGGATTAGCGTACACGCAAGGTCCCGCTTGGCCACGATCTTAAAGGTTTGATAAACCGTGGAAGGAGCTTCGTCTAAATGACAGCAAAAACTGCATGTTTAGGAAGGTTTTAACAGTTAATAAAACCAGGTCTCCGACCTCAACGTTTTCGTCATTTTTTCTGCTTTTTCTGTCGCATATTCTTGCTCAAACGGTCGACAAAGACCACAACACCCGTGTTGTCCGCTGAGTCCCTCGGCAGGCCAAACACAAAGTCCATACTCATAAAGGCCAACACCCATAGGGTACCGATAAATTTGCCAGTGGCGTCACCGCATTCAAAGAGATTTTCACCCTTTGACATGTCCCACACGTGTGCACATATGTGCTCGTCCATTTGTACAGCTTGGGCCATCAGAAGTGGCAGCTCACAGAGCTATACGTCTTCAATCGACCGAGATGACCATGTCGTGGGCCTAACTGAGGATACGGTGTTTCAAATCCTCATCGTGAGGAACCACAATTCCTGGTGTATCCGTCAAATCGGTGCTATATCACAGCAGCCCGTAACTCAACTAAAATCGGTGTAACCGTGCGCGCAAACGCGCCGACAATTTCCTGTCCGATTTTTTATACCCCTTGCTCACGAGAGCCTGTAATAGCCCTACACACATACCATCATCACCGTCACTGACGACTTCACCGTCGTGATACAAGCAAGCTCATAATACGGTCTGCGTGACAACGCATCAGCCAAAGTACTCTTTCCTGGCTTATACTTCACCTCAAATTATATTTTTCGAAGAAGGAAAGCCACCTGGCCATCCTCTGCAAAAATTGAGGCGACAGAGTCGCAGTGCGTAGTGATGATCTGTGGAGATCATGAACGGCTTGAAGTTGATCAGGTGAGCCCTGAACTTGATAAGTGCATACATTATCGCAATTAATTCCTTGTCGTGAACTGGGTATTTTTTCTCCGCAGCATGAATCTGACGAGATTCGAACGCGATCACCCGATCGCACATCCCGGCGCCTGCTTGCATTAATGCACAGCCGATGGCAAGATCTGAAGCGTCACAGACGACACTACAAAGACAATCGGGGCCTGGCAACGCCAGTGTTGGTGCATGAATGAGGCTGTCTTTAACCTTGTCAAAAGCCTATGATGCTCGGTGTCCCAACACCATAGCCCGCATCTTTCTAAAAGGAGATTCGACAGTGGCCGTGCCATTTCCGCATAACTCGCGCTATATTTGTGCAAGTAGTTGGCGAGGTCGAGCCACTTGCGCAAGTCCTTTTGGTTTTTTGGAACCAGCCCTTGATCTTAGCGAGATTCGCTCGAAGGCCACGCTTCCCAAGGAAGCACCCTAGAGAGGGAATTTTTACAGCTTATTCGTGCGCATGCACTCGAGCACCGCTCTCGAATGGACGATGTTGTTTCCCTCCTCTGTCCTACCGTTCCCCACACGACTGTGATCGAAGATGTCGTCGAAGTATGTTTGTGCATACGCTCGGTGGGGCCTGAACAGCTGCGCCACAAGACAATTAAATGTTTCTGGTGCGTTTGACAGCCCTTGGAACGTCATCAGCCACTCCCAGAGCATCCCACTCGGAGTACTCACCGCTATCAACGGAATATCACTCGCTCTCATGATCAAGAGGTAGTACAATTTTACCAAGTCGAGTGCACTGTACTTTGTACAGCCAACTATATTGTTCTGAAGAACATCATATTAGAAATCGGCTTCTGTGCCGTAATGGTGGCGGCGTATAGCTTATTGTATGCGCGAACGATACGCCACTTGCCGTTCGGCTTCCGGGCACAAAACGTGGGTGTCGAATGGTGACGCTTGCTTTCACGCACCATTCCTCTGTCGTGCTTCGCACGAAAGAAGGCATCAATGACGTCACACTGCTCCTTGGGCAGGGGCCATCGGGGTGTTACGCAGTATTTGGTTCCCGGAACCACGTCGATTTCATGACAGACACCTCGGTCCGGAGGTAGGACCGACGGTGGGTCTTTGGAGACGACGTCTTGAAATTTCTTTACAAAAGAATAGTACAGAGTCGAGGGATCCTTTAGGATCGACGATCTACTTCTTGCGTCCAGCACTCTCTTAGTATCATCCAGGACAGCTTTATCCAGAAGCGACGACGAGTTGATCTCCTCTTCCGGTCGTATGATGACCACTTTGGCTTTGTCGCCTGCCTTCAAGGCACCGCCAAACTGCTCGAAGGACATCTCATCCAGGTCTAAAAGGTCATCCACCGCAGCCCAGGTGTGACGTCGCCATCTTCCTCCCCGTCATATCGTTGACGAGGGTGTGTAGCTGTGCCTATCGTCTACGGTAGACACACCCTGGGCCAGGGTAGACGACCTGCGTTTTGCAGATAATATACGGTGTCGCCGTTGCCTCCCCACAGAGATTTTATGTATCGACGAGAACAGTGGGAACACGCACTAAGCGTCTTCCAGTGTCCCCCACTTCCTGCTTCATCGGAGCCTTGATGTTATTAACAACATTTGACGAAGTTCTGCTAGTTTTGCAGTCTTCGTCCAGCCGTTCAACGAGCATCTGAAGGGTCGCCGCAAAATACCGCGGAAGGCATGCAGCATTTGCTTTGAAACGTGAGCACTGCTCAGTGGGTTACGCGCCACCCCACGTGCATCACTGGGGCCTTGCCCTCGATGCCTCGGCCCTTGGCCGATCATGCCACTCGTGGCATGCAGCGACCGTTCCGATACTTGAGCAGCACTCAGTGGGTAACGTGCCACTCCACGTTAAGCCCGCGAGCCACGCTCAGCAACTCGGATACTCCGCTTTCCAGCACGTTGACAGTGCTGGCGCCAGTAGCGCTTCTACTTCCTGCACAGGTGGGTTCATGACTCACCAAAGCTCCACCAGGAGACGTGCCCATAGCGTCCATAGCGCGCAAGGTCTTCGACCTCCAATAGATTCATGGCTCATGGTGTTTCAACCATGCCAAACCAAGGATTAGGTCATACCTTAAATCCAAGTCTAAGACAAAACAGCGCTGGGCAGACAAACTCCAGGCGCAGTGGAAGTTAATTAAGCGTGACATCATGTAGTTAACCAGCACCAGTATAGATGGACTCCATTCTGGTTGGTAGCCGTACGGTTTGCATATTGCAATACATTTGGCAAAACAGATATGTTTGGTACCAGTGTAAGCTAGTTTTCATAGAGACTGATGCTTGATTCACACCATTCCTTTTTGATACATGATTGTGCTTTCGCATCCTCCCTGACTACCTCAAAACCCTACCAACCCAGTATGTCACGGGACCCCCTCGACAGCGTAAAAACCTTTGGGCATTACCCAGTAAGAATGTAATGATTTTGTTGGTATTAAAAAGTAAGTTTTAATACCACAACAAGATTTAATTTTCTACTACTATATCATCAATTCTGGTTTAGATTTAATCCAGACGTGGATCCTGAGGATCTTGGAATAATCGCTGTCGTGTGAGTCGCGATCATAAAGCCTCTCGGAATCCCCAGTGCGTCGTTTATGTATAGAACCCAAACACTGCTGACTTGTTACCCTATATTTCCAACAATCTGGCACTTTTGATCGTCGCATCCAGATTTATTGAATTACTGGCGCCGTGCACACTTTTTTAATCTCCACAAATAGAACGCTATGGAGCATGTTTACTTGCCGTCGGACTAGGCTAAGCGCGCGTGTGTGGTGTAGTAATTTACTTCTCTATTACTCTACACGACAAGAATCAGACCTATATAGTGTGACGGTATAGCTAAGGTCCGAATTTGCTGCTGCTGGTTTATCATCTATACTAAAGTCTCGACAATATTTTCAACTGCTGCTGAGACCGATTCAAATACTGCAATGTGATTGCGTTCGGCCGTTTCCTGTAGATACGCGCGTGCTCGTGCGAGATCTTGAAATTCTCGGCCTGAAATCGTCACTCCTTCTTCAACCATGCAGCCTTCCTTAACAGGCTCAATTACGAGTATCATAGCATGATGGCTAGAAACAAGCTCAACAGCCTCTGTCATAGCAGCAATTGAGCGCAATTTTTTCGGTATCACAAACAGAATGAGCTCCGCCATGGCCTTTAATGATTCAACCTCTTGTAGGTGCTCAGTCATCGCTTGCACGTGCATCTCGGCAGTCGTCAATCCAAATTGTGAATAATCTGCATATGGCACATACAACGAGATGCCAGCCTTTTGCTGCAACGGGATTGCGACCTCTTTTCTCCAAGACGTTGAAGACAAGGTACCTCCTAAATAAACAAAACTATCCGTGAGATCACTACAGCCAAGTTGAGCCGTAATTGAACGCGTTGAAGACGATTCTCCAAACAAATCGCTATTTTCACTTCCGTCTGTGCTGCTCGTACTGCTATCCAAGTTATAAGATTTCAACAACATTGGAGAGAGTGAACGCAACGCCCCACGATATGATCGATGCCTTCCACAACAATCATTTAATACAATTGATGAGCGCTTTCGAAGACGTGACATTTCTGATCGAGACATTAGCATATCAGTCCGAGAGAGCCACTTGATGCATCCTTGAATTGCTGTTGCCACGTCCAAAAACAAACTGACACCTCTTTTAGATGCCAGGTCACGCAAAAATTGACGTGCACCGTTAAGATCTGCCAACTCTGTCTTTGACAAGAAAGTTCCAGCAATCTCTGTGTCATCTTTAATATCTTCGACCACGAGTATCACTTTTCTGCCTCGACAAATATACTCGACGGCTTCATTGATACAAACGATGGATCTTGTGAGACCGTCAATGACCATTAGCACGATTTGCGCCATCTCTTTGGCCTTCGCTTCGATATGAATGAGCTCCTCATACCACTCGTCGACTTGAGGATTAAAATAATTAACACGTGCCGCGTCTAGCATAGGAATGGCAATGTCGTGTCTCCAAGTTGTAGGATTGCATGATCCTCCAAGGAAGACGTCAAAATTGGCCAGGCGTTCCCATGAAAATGGCTCGAGACCTTTATTAATGCTTTGCGTCTTGCAAATCAGATGTGCTGCGACTGGCTTGTTATGAGCCACCGCGCTTAAAGCATGATCATTCCTGTACGTTCTGATCTTGGAACACGGGAGCATCATATGCGGCGAAGTGTAGGATCGGTGTTTTGTGAGGCATAAGGCATGCGCTGGGCGTCCTGTCGTCGCGGGCGGCGTCATTGGCACGAAGTCACAAAATAGTTTCTTTAGGCGCCTTTTAAAAGGCCTATCCTTTTTCCGACGTTGTGGTCAATATTGCTGCGTTCTATTCCAAAGAAAAATTGGTATAACGAGCGCTGAACCAGAATGATGTAGGGTTCCGACTACATAGCAACTAGACACAGCTATCCACCAAAAATAACATACTCACGGCTGAAATCAGTAAAACATGAGCCCATCTGGCCCCGCGATAAGCATCTGCTAGAAAAAATATCCAGCAGTTGTCGGGTAAAAGGCAGGTAGATACCGTTGGCTTTATGTGGCTGACTGTAGATTATTAGTTAAATACAAGTCATGCCAATTGTGAGTTGTGCTTATCGTAGCATTTAAGACACATTTTGATCACATGAAAGATATTTTTTGGCTCATTAAATGTGAGAAGGTCTTGACTTCTCCAAATATTGCAAGACTTTTACGCCGCTTTTCATACCTCCTGCGCCGCTGCTAATCGTGGTGACATCGTCAATCTAGGTGTATGATCTGTTTTCTTGTCTATCTAGTAAAAACGATGAAGCTGTACATTACTTTATATTCAAGTTATTAGCTCCGCTTTGAGCTACTTTTCGCTTCTTTCTTGTCCATAATTTTGTGTATTCCATGCCAAATACTCCGAGCGACTCTCAAAGAGCGATTCAGGCTTGCAACGTATTGTTTTGTCCAATTAGATTTGTTTTATTATACCTGACAATATTTGAACCATCACTCCTACTTTTGATCCGATCTTTTCACTCTTCCTGATCCGCATTATGTCGAAACCCTTCACTCGGCTGCCGACGTGTGTCGCTCCTGTCAAGTATTTCCTAGACTACACCATTGATCTTGACCATTGTCGCTTTGAAGTGAAGGAACGTGTGCTGCTATCTGTCTTGCAAGCTACTCGCATCATCACGTGCCATGCACTTGAGCTCTACGTCTTCGACGTCTCTCTCTTCCTCCCGAATAGCAGAACTCGCATCAAATGTAAGGAAATTCGGCATCACGTGGCTGACCAATCAGTTGAATTAGTTTTCGACGACGAATTGCCTGCTGGGGGTGAGGCAGAGCTCTCACTCACATGTCACGGTGAATTGAATGACAAGCTTCATGGCTTCTACCGTAGCGCGTACGACCATGAGCTAGCGAATGAGACGCGTCTCATGGCTGTTACACAGTTTGAAGCTTGTGATGCGCGCCGCGCTTTTGTCTGCTGGGATGAGCCTGCTATCAAGGCAAGATTTGAAATCTCGCTCACTTGTGACGTCGAGCTCACGGCTCTTTCTAATACGCACGTAGTGCAAACGCTTGTGCGTCCGCGCGCTACGAATGCGCATATTCGAAAACATTCTCGTTCATCAAATTCAAAACTTGAAAAGGTCTGGAAATTTGCCGAAACGCCCGTCATGTCGACCTACCTCGTTGGAATGCTAGTTGGCGAGTTCGACTTTGTCTCGACCGTCACAACAGACGGTATCCTCGTTTCGGTGTATACCCCTGTTGGTCGTAGTGAAAGAGGGACCTTTGCGCTGGATGTCGGTGCAAAAGCACTTACTTTCTACAGCTCAAAGTTTGGAATTCCGTACCCCCTTAAGAAACTCGATATGGTTGCTATTCCTGATTTTGCAGCGGGTGCGATGGAAAATTGGGGCGTTGTGACGTACCGTGAGACGCGATTACTCATTGATGACGCATTGAGTAGCTTTAGCCAAAAATTGGCAGCTGCACGAACTGTTTGTCATGAGATTGCGCACCAATGGTTTGGTAATTTGGTGACTATGGAATGGTGGACGGGGTTGTGGCTCAATGAAGGGTTCGCGCGCTTTATGGAATTTGAAGCAGTTGATGCGATATTCCCCGATTGGAAGGTGTGGGAAATCTTTGTACAGGATATTACCATGGGTGTCGCGATGGAAAAGGACTGTATGCTTACGTCCCATCCGATTGAAGTTAAAGTGAATCATCCAGATGAAGTAGATCAGATCTTTGACGTCATTTCGTATGCCAAAGGTGCGAGTGTCATTCGAATGTTGTCGGAATATCTTGGTCGAGATGTGTTCTATCAAGGCATTCATGATTATCTCGTGAAATTTAGCTATCGCAATACGCAGACGCAAGATCTTTGGAAAGCACTTGAACACGCTTCCGGTCAGCAAATTTCGTCCCTGGCGAGTAAGTGGACTAGTCATACAGGGTATCCAATCGTGACATTATCCGACGATGGAGAGCTTGTCCAAAAGCGCTTTTTGGCTGACCAAAGTCTTCAAAATAGCACACCAGAGAACATTGCGTGGGATGTGCCGTTGACTTTCTTGGCATCTGATAAACCGAACGAAATCCAAAAAATTGGCATTTGGACGAGGCACTCAAAAGACGCAACAAATGCACTAGCGGCGAAGTTGCATGCATCTAGCACGTCGTGGCTGAAACTCAATGCGGTCCAGGCTGGATTTTACCTAGTCAACTATTCCGAAAAAGGCTGGAAGCGTCTACAACACCCTGTTCGGGAGAAAATTCTGTCTCCAGTGGATCGCATGAGCTTATTGAACAGCATATTTGCATTCGCGCGGAGTGGCGAGTTGCCACTCTCTTGCGCTCTTGACTTTAGCTCGGCATATGACACAGAATCTGATTATTTGTGCTGGAAGGAACTGGCGTCGAATTTGCGTTTTTACTGCAAGCTTTACACATTCGATGAGTTCTATCCAAAGTTGCAAACGTACGTTCGTCGACTCTTTGGACCAATGATGCAGCAACTTAAGTGGATAGCAACAGAAGATGAAAGTCCAATGGTTGCTCCATTCCGGTGCAGCGTCATCAGTATGCTTGCAATTGGTGATGATCAAGATGTCATTGCCGAAGCCCAGCGATTGTTTCATGCGTATTTAGAGGATCGATCCGCGCTGTCTGCCAATTTGCGTGGAGTTGTTTTTAATGCCCAAGCTCGACGTGGCAATGCCACAGATTTTCGTCTATTGCGTGAATGCTACGAGTCTAGCAACTTTATTGAAGAAAAACTGGATTGTTTGACTGCATTGGGTCTATTTAAGTCTTTGGAGCTTAAGCGCGACGCGATCAATTGGGCTCTTCACAATGTCCGGTCGCAGGATATTCAGTACATTTTCAGTAGCGTTGCTGCCGATGCTCCAGGTGCTGAGTTTGCATGGCAATACGTGCAAGATCATTGGGATGAGCTTGCAGTGCAATACCGGCCGAAAATTTTGGGCCGCATTGTTATGGCAGTCATTTCGCGCTTCCAAAGCGACGTAAAAGCTGATGAAGTGGACAAATTTTTGGAAACACGGAAACACTCGTCTTACACACGCTTGCTAGATGCCGCTTTGGAAAATATTCGAGTGAAAAGCGCTTGCTACCGACGCAATCGTGACGACTTGAAAAAGTGGCTAGAGTCAATTTAGCTTCTTTCTCGTAGTAGTCCTTCACTCTCAAATGCAATATATTGTCGAATGACCATGACCATACTGTTCACGATTTTACACACTAAGAAGCTGCACATGACAGGGGCATTGACGACATCTGGTCGATAAAAGTCATAGCGGACAATGAATGTAGCTCGTAATTTTCCCCACTCAACTGTTGCTAATGTTATGTAATTTATTCGAGCTCATGGCCTACAGCATAAGTGCATACAGTCAATGTTTTGCCAAGATGCAAGGTGCCTGTGACACTTGACGGCGAGCAAAATATTCAACATGGCAAAGCGCAATTGTGTCACATGAGCACAAAAAGAAACCTGCAGCTGCCCACCAGTCTTGCTATGTGTATGGGATTATAAACAGACGCATTGACTGTTCTTTTCTTTGACTGTTTTGCCGCTATAGACCACCCAGCAGCTCTCTTCATCATAGCAGGAAGGAGTCGGGGTAGACGGAATACGCTACTGAGCTGGGTAGTTTTAATGGTTTGCGGTCGATACGTGACCAACTTGTATGAAGTATTTCACAACTTACTCTACATGAATGGGATAGATGTATGATTTGGGCTTAAAGTGGCATTGTCTGACCACTAGGTGCAGAGTCATCCATCATATACTGTCTAGCGAATAATAGCAATTGTATTCTGCATCGTCCGGAGACTAAGGCAATTTCAAAGCTACTGTAATCATAGGAACCTCGAGCTTGCCATCTTTAGGCCCAATCTTAAATGTTAATTTTTTAATGCAGTTTACCTCTTATAGTCGGCGATGGTCCATAGCCAATTAATTTCGGTGGAAGAGAGCTTAATTTGACTATACAACTTCCCCGACATCCATCCCGAAGAGCGATCACTGGTAAATTATTGCTCATATATATTCATAAGTCGGTTTTTGTACACAAATTGGTCTTTACCACTTGTGCTGTAGCTGACCCACATCTTACGTACAGATAACTTTTTCGCAACACATAAGGCTTATCAATGATATCTACCCAGAGATATCTACTCGAGAGATCTACTGCTACCACTTACCTAATGATATATCTTACACATACCTACAAAATATAGTTGAATAAAAAAACAGGTGACAATTAGTGTCTAATACCATTTGAAACGTTGTCCATTTGAGTTAAAATGCAGAAAGTCTGGCGCGCAGCAGCTGGTGCGTATGCAGCATACGCGGTTACACTCATTGTATGCGTTAAAAAGAATCTTGTCCTTAGTCTTGATGGACGATAGTACAGCTGATCATTATACTAATTTTTACTCAACTTTGCTTCTTTTTACCTTCCCACTCAGAGACATTATCGTCTGCCGACTTCCTACTAATCGCAACAGGCGCGGGCTTCTCTGCCGATTCGTCATTACCAGTATACGCGTACGTAAAGACCTGATGTACACCATAGTCAAGGTGAAATCAAAACATCGATATTCATTTCAGGGATATCGCCAAGGTGGATGTTTACGAAAAGATGAATCTAGAATACCACGACTTGTGTGATCCATACATGTTAGAGCAAGACGAAGAGATTTTCTACGGCTTTTGGGGTAATTGCACGAATTCCTACCGAGATACAAAGCATCATAGTGGATACCAGATTCTACTTAAGTGGAGAAACGCACTTCGACTCAAATCCAAAGCCAACAAATTAGATGGGACAAAGTCTAAATTTCGAGCGACATTTGATCGCTTGAAAAACTGTCAAGCTCTGCCAGCAGAAATTTCAGGAGATTTTGTGACCAACGATCCTTTTTTTCTTTATACATCAAATGTATGGACCGCACTTGGTGGTTTATTTGATCTCTGATATCTGACTCGTATGATACTTAATCAGGTCGATTCACACTTTACGCGTGACTTTGACAGCAAAGAATTATATGAACTTCACGGTAGTATTGAAAGGTGGCAGTGTGCAGGTGATGTCGAGACTGGTGCTAGAGAACCGTGTGAAAGGACGTGGATATTGCCTGCTGAGTTTCGCTTTGATTTAAACGTGGCAACGATGAAGGCAAATGGTGCTGAAGCTACGACGTGCCCAGAATGTGGGGGCAAAGGACGGCCAAATGTACTGATGTTTCATGACAGACAATGGATAGCCAATACTTTGGAAGAGGTGCGAGTTGTGAACACTATCATGAACGAGCTATAATTAATGACCGTATGCAACATAGAAAAGATATATTGCGTGGGAATCGGTGATGGAGCAGGTATGCCAATTGTATCATCGTATGCTATCAAACTGAGTTTTCATCTATATGTTATAGATGCTACAGGAAGATCCAACATTAAATCTTGTCGTACTCGAAATCGGCTGTGGAACTCGGGTTAGTTTTATTAATCTACGTCGAGATATGAAGATGTGTAAATGGAATATAATCTTTTTCAGGTACCATCTGTTCGAAGAGAGACCGAGATGGTAGTTGCTGACGTGATTGAGAGCTGCGGGCGTCCGCAAGCGAAGCTTATTCGAGTTAATGTCGAAAATCCAGCGTGCGACCACCCGATGATACTAGCTAATGATTGCTTTCTTCCAATTCAATCATTAGGATTAGTGGCGTTAAAAAGTATCGACCTTGAAATCGAAAAACTTCGAAGATAGATTACAGTAGGATGAATGAATGTGTAATTTGAGGTAGACGACAAGCATCATTTTGTAGACTCACATTCAATTACTACGTCTGAGTGATCATTTCAGTTAGTAAACTAGCTGCTCGAATGTACGCAACTAATAATGTCTGCCATTGAAAAGGTTTGTGCACAATTATACGGAATCTGGTCTTACCACTTTCAGGCAATGTCGTAAATTATATTTTTGTCATGCTCTGATACAATATCGAAGCTGCCTGTCAAATGAGTCCGACCAACAACACATTAAGCTCAATAGAAGGCACCTAGAAGAATTCGTCGTCGATTGATTGCTCTGCAGCCTAATGCCATAATTATTGTACAATGCCAGGTGATTGAATCGACTACACAATCGACAATTGTATTGAAGAAGACTTCTGCACCCAGGCTGCGCTTCATTCCGTCTTGCAATCGATTTTCAATTTCCACTCGGCTTCCAGCGCTTTTTCTTCATCCTGAATGGCAGAAATCAGTGAAAGTTTTTTATTATCCAAGCCACAACAATACTTACTGCTGAGAGAGAAACTTCCGTTTGCAGAATCATATTAAGCATTTCTTCTGTCAAAGCATGGTACGCCGTGCTGTCTCCTGCAACGACAAGACCGGCTACTTCAGCCACGGCAATACGCAGCCGACCAGTTGATATCGTGGTCGTTTTATCGCTTGAGAACAAATTGACGCCATTTTCACGTTGAAGCTGGCGAGGAAAGATGAATATTACCAAGCCGACTATGAGAAGATTGTGTGGGATTCCTCGAGACTGTAGAATTTCTAGCAGATACCATCCAATTCGCACGACGTGATCCACATCCGTCGAAACGTCTTTCGGCTCAATGACGTAACAACTTGTTTTCCAATTTGGTAGGCTGCTCACGATCGCGCCTCTAACTTGATGTAATAGTTTTCTAACTTGGAATGTGACAGGAAAATTTAACGAGTCTTCAAGTGGTGGAAAAAAGTAGCCCTGAAGATGAAAGTGATTTACAGACGACCAGGCTCCAGCGCTGTTGAACCCTATGAAATCGTATCGTCACCATCGTCTGGCCATGGTTATAGAAGGATTCATGATATTCGTACCGAGAGCAAAGTCACTGCGATTCATCGTAAAGGTAATACTTAGCGCATACCAAAGGAAGTCTTTCGTCATCACCTGTGGTTTAACAAGCCTTAGGTCGGGTACAAACAGCATGTGGCCATAAAACTGTGCACATCCGACGCGTTACTTTTCGTTTCTGATCATCAAATTGAGATCGATTGACGTACCAAAGGTGAGATATTTACAAGAGCAAAATGCGAAACCTCCTTATTCCATAAAAACTCATCATTGCAAATCTCGATGAGTTGTACATTAGAAAGAGTCTGTTCTTCATCCGATGAAAAGCGCAGTCCACCTAAAACTTCGGCACAGCTGAACATCAAAGTTTTTAACCATTTAAGAAATATTTTATGTAAGTGATGCAAGCGGCGTTCGTACTTGGCTTTTGTAAAGTTAAATCCTCTGTCTTCAAGTTTTGTAGAGTTTGTGCCAGCCATAAGTTGTTCATCTACCGGGCGTTTATTCTATAAATCTCACGAGAGCAATGATTTATCACCGTTTGAAACAAGAGCTGAAAATACAAACTAAAGAGTGATACCTTGATATGATTCGGATTATATTGAATGACGAGGCCCATGTCACCAGGAATACGACGACGCAACGTGTCGTCCACACGTGTGCGCAAAAGACCTCAATCACGCAAACACAAGCCGTTGCCATAAGTTTATTGCTTCGCATTTGTTAAACAACCGCACTTACCAGCAGATGCTACACGGTGCCATTGGCGAAGCAGAACTTCATCCAAGGTCATTGCTGCATGACAAGACAAATCGCGAATATAGCCAATCAGAAGACACTATTTTGATCTCTGATATGAAATTTACATTCAGATTAAACAAGCTCCTTTGTTTCTGAGCGTAACAGAGCGAACTTCTCAATTTGCCGGCTACTACGCAAGTCAAATCCCTAGAAGTACTCCCCAGCCCC